CTAATCCTCCCATGCTCCCCCTCCCAACCCCACTATGAGTCAGCCTCTTTATATCAGAGAAAACCTTCGACATTTGTTTTTTGGGGATTGGCTAACTTCACTTAGCATTATATTCTCCAACTCCATCCATTTAGCTGCAAATGCCAGGATTTTATTCTCTTTTATTGCTGAGTAATATTCCATTGTGTATATACATATTACATTTTCTTTATTCATTAATCTACTGAGGGGCATCTAGGTTGGTTCCACAGTTTAGTTTATTGTGAATTGCACTGCTATAAACATCGATGTGGCTGTGTCCCTGTAGTATGCTGTTTTTTAAGTCCTTTGGGTTTAGACCAAGAAGTGGGATAGCTAAGTCAAATGGTGGTTCCATTCCCAGCTTTCCAAGGATTCTCCATACTGCTTTCCATATTGGTTGTACCAATTTTCAGTCCCATCAGCAATGTATGAGTGTGCCTTTCTCCCCACATCCTCGCCAACACTTATTGTTATTTGTATTCTTAACAGCTGCCATTCTGATTGGAGTGAGATGAAATCATAGAGTAGTTTTGATTTGCATTTCTCTAATTGCTAGAGATGTTGAACATTTTCATATATTTGTTGACTGTATATCATCCTCTGAGAAGTGTCTGTTCAGTTCCTTGGCCCATTTATTGACTGGGTTATTTGGGTTTTTTTTTTTTTTTTGGTGTTTAGCTTTTTGAGTTCTTTATATACCCTAGAGCTTAGTATCTCTGGTTTAATTCCTAGCTGGAGTTTCTTTTTGAGAAGAAAAACAAAAAGAAGTCTATGGGAAGGGTCTTCCCTCAGTTGAAGGTAGGGCTGCCACAGGGAGCTGCTTGTCTTGGTTGCCACATGTGTACATCTGAGCCGTATGAAGCTGCACTCTGCACTCAAAGGTAATGGTGTAGTGTGGGGCAGCAGGAAGGTGGGAGTCTTACCCAGTTCTTTTAAATTAATCAGTGTAAAAAAAATATCTGCTACCATCTCACTCCAGTAAGACTGGCAGCCATTCTGAAGTCAAACAAGAACAAGTGCTGGCGAGGATGTGGGGAAAAGGGTACTCTTGTACATTGCTGGTGGGACTGCAAATTGGTGCGGCCAATTTGGAAAGCAGTATGGAGATTCCTGGGAAAGCTGGTAATGGAACCACCATTTGACCCAGCTATTGCCCTTCTCGGACTACTCCCTGAAGACCTTAAAAGAGCGTACTACAGAGATACTGCCACATCGATGTTCATAGCAGCACAATTCACAATAGCTAGACTGTGGGACCAACCCAGATGCCCTTCAATAGATGAATGGATAAAAAAAATGTGGCATTTATACACCATGGAGTATTACACAGCACTAAAAAATGACAAAATCATGGAATTTGCAGGGAAATGGATGGCACTAGAGCAGATTATGCTAAGTGAAGCTAGCCAATCCCTAAAAAACAAATGCCAAATGTCTTCTTTGATATAATGAGAGCAACTAAGAACAGAGCAGGGAGGAAGAGCAGGAGGATAAGATTAACATTAAACAGAGACATGAGGTGGGAGGGAAAGGGAGAGAAAAGGAAAATTGCATGGAAATGGAAGGAGACCCTCATTGTTATACAAAATTACATATAAGAGGTTATGAGGGGAATGGGAAAATAAACAAGGAGAGAAATGAATTACAGTAGATGGGGTAGAAAGAGAGAGAAGATGGGAGGGGAGGGGAGGGGGGATAGTTGAGGATAGGAAAGGTAGCAGAATACAACAGTCACTAATATGGCATTATGTAAAAATGTGGATGTGTAACCGATGTGATTCTGCAATCTGTATTTGGGGTAAAAATGGGAGTTCATAACCCACTTGAATCTAATGTATGAAATATGATATGTCAAGAGCTCTGTAATGTTTTGAACAACCAATAATAAAAAAAAAATATCTGCTGGGAAAATAATGCTGTTGAAACAAAGATCCACCAGACTCCACAGTGGGTCTGTAGGGTTGGGCCTGGAGAGCCGGGGTACTCCTGACATGGAGAACAGCAGAGCATTTATGGGCAGGTGGTGTTGCACAGATCGTAGTGCTGGGGCCGGCAGGGGAGCCCCGTGGGTCAGACACAATCCAGAGAGTGCAGACAGGGCCCTGGCCCCTGTGAGGTCCACAGGGTGTCAAATCAGCTCACATCAACACGTGTCATTTGAAAGACTGCGACATTCTGGGTCTCGTGTCAGGCACTCTGCTCTCTGCTCTACATCTGTGCTCACACTGAAACTTCACAAGAACCCAACACGATAGGGCTTATGCATTCCTTTTTACAGATATGGACAGGCACAAGGCAGGCAAAGGTCACACTACTCAAACTGGAAAGCCAGGATTTAGTCCCAAAATGGCAGTTCCCAAGGTCTATTCTCTTGGCTACTGAGTGATATTGCCTGCTTCTAATGGGCTGTCCCACAGGGTCTGTAAGCTCTGCCTGAATTGACTAACTGGTTACTGACAGGATACGCAAACAACTGGGACAGTGGAGCATTTACATTTTGGGAGGATTAAATGACAATACTTAACTGTGTGTGCCATAATGCAGTTGCCTGGCTCTGTGGCCCCACCATTCAGCACTCCTCCCATATACTCTGAGCCCAGCCTCGATGAACTGCCTGCAGCCCTCAATGCAGGCTAGGCCCTCCACCTAGCCAACTTCTCCTCAGCCTCAGGAGATCCCACTTCGAACTAGCTCCTCTTTGAAGCCCCCCACCCCTTAACCCTGCTCCCTTCCCCATTCCCACTTCATCCAGGAGAAACTTTTCACAGGAACTTGCTGTCCAGGCCTCTGTTTTGGCACTGATTTGGGTATAATTACATGTTCACAGATCTGTTTCCCATAACATCATCTGAGACCCAACATGAATTAAACAAAAACAGGCAGGAAACTCAGGCTAACTTGCCACTAAGAGGCAGAGTCCCCAAGTGCTCAGGGTGTCACACTGTCCATACTATGTGCCCCAAAACTAGGTGGCAGGATGGAAGGTTTGCTCAGTTTTTAGAAAGTGCTGCACCAAAGGCCATCAAAAATCCAAGTGACTTTTTGGTTCCTTAGTTCCACTCATGTGAAGGATTCTACACATGGGAAGACAGGAAAGAGAATCACCTTTGGATTCTGATGGTGAGAACTAACAAAAGAAGCAAACAGAAAGGTAGCCAAGTCCTCCAGAGTAACAATAATGCCTATCAAAACAGCACCTAGTAAGTGCTGGTCACTTCATTCACACTGTCATTCCATCCTTGCACACAGCCTAACGGTGTGGGTGGCACAGAGATCCTATTTTAGAATGGGAAGATGAGGCTCAGAGACCATGACGACAGTACCAGCCACAAGCTCGAGGGCACTTGGGCCAGTCTGCTGCTGAGATGTCTTGACATTACTGCTGTGAGCAGTAACCAAGACCTCCAACAAGTAAATAACTCATCCCTGGTCATGCTCCTGCCAAATCCAGACCGTTAATCTGGTCTCTAGCTGCTGTGCTCCTAGTCACTCAGCAGCCATGGCAGGAGCAGGCTTGGGGACAGGCAAGCATGCTCCAACAGCCATGCATGTTCTACCATGAGAGGCTGTTTCTCTTGTTACAGATGGCGAACACCTATTATGGGTTGAATGCTGTCCCCTCAAAACACGTTGAAGTCCTAAACCCCAGTACTGTGAATGTAACCTTTTCTGAAATGCAATCTTGCAGATGATCAGGTTAACATGATATAGTTATAGTGGGCCCTAATCCAACACCACTGGTTTCCTTAGAAACATGAGAAATTTGACATGTGAAGACACAGGGAGAAGCCAACAAATACCTCAAGCTAGGAGAAAGGCCTAGAACAGATCCTCACTTGCAGTCCTCAGACAGAACCAACCCTGCCAATTGTTTGTAGACTCCTAACCTCCAGAAGAGTAAAAGAATAAGTCTCTCTTGTTTATGGCACCCAGTTTTGTTACGGTGGCCTCACAAAACTCAGCTAGGTTGTTGGCAACTTAGTCCATGGAGTAACTAGGAGATGGTGGCAACATGGGCCACAGGAAAATACCCGAGGTGCATATGACATTAGAAGGAGAAGCAAGCGACAAAAACATGAGGATCATCCAACCATCACAGCGGGTAGTGCATACCTGGACACAAGAGAAGACTGATGCAATACCCTACACATTCATATACAAGGGGAAGACCACGTGAAGATAAGATGCTTTCCAAGTTCTTTCCCTAATCTTCTATATTTTTCCAATTTTATTCAGCAAAAAGACTATGCTTATACATTTTATACAACTAGCTTGAAAATATATTTGAGCCATAGGAATATAAGATTGTGGACTGAACCGTGTCCCTTTGAAATTCTGTTGAAGGAATTCAACCTCTATATTCAACCTCCAAATGTGACTATCTTTGGTGACAGGATCTTTAAAGAGGTAAGTAAATTGAAACTAGAATTGTTGGGGTGGGATTGTGGTTCAGCGCTAGAGCGCTCACCTAGCATGGGCGGGACCCAGGTTCAATCCTCAGCACCACATAAAAAAAAATAAAGGCATTGTGTTGTGTCCATCTATACCTAAAATAAATAAATAAATAAATAATATTTTTTAAAAATAGAATTGTTAGTGAGGGTCCTACTCCAATATGATACAGTGTCCTCCTAAGAAAAGATCAGGATAAAGAGAAACACCCAACACATGCATATACAAGGGGAAGACCATGTGAAGACACAGCAAGAAGATGGCCATCTGCAAATCCAGGAGAGGAGCCCTTCCAAGAAACCAAATCTGCTAATTCCTTGACCTTGAACTTCCAGCCCCCAGAACTGTGAGGAAAATAAATTTCTATTTTTTTAAGCCATTCAGTCTGCAGTATTTCATGGCAGCCTGAGCAAACCAACACAAGAACCAAAGGAGGGCAAGCTTTCCCACAGCCCCCAGCTCTGTAAGCTGGAGCCAACAAGTAGGCAGGACATGCCCAGAGAGCATGGCATGGCTACATTACTCACCTAGGCAGTTATGTCCATCATGTGCCAGCATGAAGCCATCAAAGCAGGTACACCTGTAGTTTCCTGGAATGTTGATGCACTCGTGGACACAGCCCCCATTGTAGTAGTCATTCTCACACTCGTCAATGTCTGTAAAATGAAGGATGTAAGAGGTGTCAGAGGAAGAGCTGGGGGTTCCCTCACCCCCACTGCTGAAGCCACTGGATCTGAGTGATTAGGCAAGGACTCAACAGGTATTCACTGAAGGACTTCCTGGGGAATGGGAAACATAAGGGCTATACAAATGATGATCCTGGCTCTGCAACAAGGCCGGCCACGAGTCTTCAGAGCAGGGCCATGCACCAGGCACGTGTGCGGTGCCTTCCGATTCCTAGCACAGTGAAGCACGCAAGATTTGCACCTGGTTCTGGCTCCCTTGAAAGGCTCTCAATGAATAGGCGGCTGAATGCGTGAGGATTGTGTTTACAATCTCTGAAACTGGCTCTCTTGAGACAGGGGAGACCACAGTAAAATCAGCTTTGCCCATCACCCAAAAGTGCAATCTGTGGATCGAAACAAAAGTCCACTAACTCCCTGTAATGGTAAGACAATGTAAGAAGGTTCAGCGAGAAATGACTTGAGTTACCGAGAGCCTTGATCCAATCAATGAGCTAGTCACCTATTGGGGTAAACTGAAGGCGCGCATGGGTGGGGCCCCGGCCACGGGGTATGGATTTACATTTGGCATGCAGAGCTCCAACTCGCTCTCTTTCTGGTCACCATGAGATGCTTCCCTCTGCCACACTCTTCTGCCTGGATGCTCTATGTCACCTGTAGCCCCAGGGAGTCCAGCCATCTAGAGGCTGAGACCTCTGAAACAGTGGGAGCCCCCCAACCATCTGTCCCTTCTCTATGATTGTGCTGGTTGGGTCTGTGGTCATAGCGGTGAAAATGCTGACTAAAACACTCCCCCAGGGTTTCCTTCCATCTCAGCCTCGGTGCCTGGCTTCCTTGTTGTAACAAAGGCTTCTGTCTCCTAAACAATGGTCAATGGCCTTTGGAAAGGTCACCCTTTTTGCTGTCATAAGTCTTTTTCAACGTTTCCCCTCAGGGGCCCGAGGCCATCAGCCCTGAGACCCAGAGAGAAGGCCAGGACACCTCAGGGGCGCCTGGTTGACCTTCCACACCCAAGTCCCGCGGCCAAACCCCACGTCGTTCTCCCAGCGACGTGGGCGCCACCGTCCCTGGTCCAAGTTCACCAGGGCACACCACGCTACGGGTGGCTGGTAGCGTGCAGCGGGTTTCAACCACGCGGCCCCGCTCTGGAGCCTGGGCGGCTGGGGGCGGAAGTGCCGCTGCCAGCCGGAACCGGAAGTGCCGGCACCCAGTAGGACCGGAAGTGCCTCTCAGAGGCAGCTGGGCAGAAGGCCGCAGTCCACAGGACCGGGGTTTTCGAGGCCGTGGGTTCGGTCCGGCGTGGGGCCAGCCTGCGGGGAGAGAGGGGCCCGAAGGCCAACCTGGATGCTTCCTCCACCGCCTGGGGAGCTGCCCAGAGGCCCCGGCCACCATGCCGCCGACTGGTGCAGAGGACAGCACCCGCGGGGGACCCACCAGACCAGCTGACCAGTTCCCAGTAGGAGCGCAGTCTACAAGAGACCGCAGAGCCGAGGCGAGACTTGACTCAAGGTCACTCACCTGGTGTCCACTCAGCCAGCCCACCAAGCGGAGCAGGTCTCCAAAGGTCCCCGAGATAGGAGGCTTCACCTCCCTGCCCGCAGGGGCCATCAAATCAGCCTTGGAAGCAGACTCGATTCGGAACTCATTTGAACTGATTTTAATCTCTATGTGTAGTAGGCTTAGTGACATTAAAGGAGGATGTGAGACTTTAGGTTTGTTGAAAGGGTGCGTAAGTTCATAAAATAGAGGGATACTGATTGCTTCCCAGTCTCCAAGCCCCAGCCTGTCTCCAGAGACCCAGACACACCAATCTAAGCACCACCCTCGCTAGATCTGCATACACTCTAAAGGCATTACAGCCCAACTTAATGCAACGAGCGTATGCCTCAGGGGTCCCCATCACAGTGAATATTGTTTTCCTTCCACATTATCTTCATATCAGCTACCAGATGTGATTTTTCCATACCCTTAACATGGTGACAGGTTGCCCAGTGGTCAGTTCTTTCTATTACCTGCCACCATGAGTCTCATCTCTCATTGCTCAAGACTTAGTAGCTCTAGAACTGTTCCCTCTCTTAATCAAGTGACTCAGGGGAAGGTGGCCAGGTCCAGCTCTAGAGGCTGGCCTTCAGGCCCCTCCCATCCTCTGCAGACTGGCTCCATGCCGGGTAGAACCCACGGCCTCCAAGTCTGATCAATCTAATCCAAACAGAAAGTGCCACTAGCAATTGCTGTTGGTCCCATGGAATATATGTGACATGGGTTGGATCAAACAGACTAAGGGAAAGGACTTTTATTTCATACTTAGGTAAAAGAATTCTCCCTGTCCACTCCCTGTCTTTCTCTCTAGCTCTCACTCTCTCTGTACCTCAGAAGGAAGAAAGCCAGGGCCTATTCTGGAAATATCCACCAGCCTTTCTAATTCTCACAGCAACCCTCTGGAAGAGGTATTTTAACTCTACATTATGGTTATGCAAACTAAAGTACAGAGAGGTCAGGCAGTTGCTCAAGGTCACATAGTAAGTGGTGGGGTAAGGATTGGAACAAAGGCCTTTCATTCTACAAAGCCTACGTACTTTCTCATAAGTTAGAATGTCCATCACATACCAGTCATTGGCAAAATACTTTATACATTTTATTTCACCCTTCACATACTTATGCCATATACTGAGAAAATATTATCCAGTCATCCAAACACCCATGTACCCATCTATACTTCCTCTTGTTCCTCGTCCTTCCGTCAATCTGTCCATCCATCCATACACATATACCTGCCTGTTGCATATACATCTACTCAAACAACCAGTCAGCAATATAGCCACCCACCCACCATCCATCCACTTACCCCATAACCTATCCATACAAATACTCATCCAACCATTCTTCCATTTATCTATTTATGCTAAAATATATCATCTAAATTTCACCACCTCTCCATTCATCCAGTTATCTATGCACCCATACATTTATCCAGGCACACATCTGCTCATATATCCAAATATTCAGTCATACATGCATCCATCCAAATATTCAGCCAGATGCCCATCCTATTAAATCTAAAAATCCACCCACCCCCACATCCAATAATCCATCCAAATGCCTAACCACCCACTCATTGATCCAAACACCCACCCTTCTATCAAACATACCACACACACACATCCTAACACCTACCCACTCATCCATATACCTAATATTCCAACCTTCACCCTTCAATCTACCCAAATTTCTATTCGCTCCTCACTCACCCACTCTTTCAGACATCAACAATCCAAAAAGCTTAAGATATACATGCAATATGATCTTCAAAACCAATAAGATGTTAGGACAAAGAAAAACAAATGACAGTTGATGAGTAAGATAAGCTGGTAATACTGTGGAGAAATATGTCTGGTAATTCCAGCACAATTACAAAAGGCAACCTACCAATATGGCTGAGCCAAAGCAAAGAAAGAAACACAGTCTATAACTACACCCATAAAATGCAAGTAAGCCAGCCGTTTTAATAGTGATGAGGTCTGAGAATCCCCAGACCTCCTAATAGGAGTGTTTCTTCCCCTGATTAGGAATAATGATGAACCTCAATTTCCCTGGCTTAGGTAGAGTTTATGCCTATTGTCTGGGTGTCATTTCTAATTGTACTCTTTTCATTATTGGGATGATAAATGATTTGACCACCATGGCCATAATGCATATGATCATTAAACAGTCAGTGAAACAACTTCTAGACTTTTCCTTTCTTTGACTCCCGTAGGGTAGGCCACAGTAGACACCAATGGGCTGGAGTGCAGGGAGGTTCACTGCTCATGTCTCTTCCCTTCATCTGCACCGAGAATTCCCCCAGACCTGAGCATCTCTTAGCCTCATCAGTTCCTCTCCTGTCCCCAGGACTCACATGCTCCCACAAGCTTCTGGGACAGCCAGGTTGAACCCCCTGCAGCACCCAGGATGGAGGACATTTGCTCACAAATCAAACCTTCCCAGATTTCCCATTTGTGTCTTGAAGTTTTGTTTTTTAAAAACATGCAAGCCTCTTCCTTTAATATGTAAGAGAAACCAACTAAGGAAAATCTCTGTCAACACAAATGGACTTATGTAAAAACCACATCCAGGAGCTACCACCTGATGGAAGAAGCCCCACAGGCCTTCAAGACACTCATCAGGCTCAGACATCTGTTGAAGAACCATTAGGATCAGAAAAAGAACAGGCACACAGAAGGTAAAGGAAGTCAGGGACAGGGCAGAGATCTGGATGCTCATTCTTATGGGGTTTTTTTTGGCAGGGGGGTGGTACTGGAGATTGAACTCAGGGGCACTCAACCACTGAGCCACACCCCCAGCCCTGTTTTGTATTTTATTTAGAGTCACGGTCTCACTGAGTTGTTTAGCAACTTGCTTTTGCTGAGGCTGGCTTTGAACTAGTGATCCTCCTGCCTCAGACTCTCAAGCTGCTGGGATTACAGTCGTGTGTCACTGGGCCCGGCCAAGGATGCTCATTCTTAAAGGACTGCTGCGAATTGCATTGTGTTGCCCAGAGATATGTTGAAGCCAACCTGTAGCACCTGAGAATGTGACCTGATTTGGAAATAGGGTCTTTGCAGATGTGATCAAGAGTGGGCCTTAATGTAATGACTGGACACAGACACCCAGAGGAGACCTTGTCACTAGGCCCCCAGACAGTGGCTGCTTTCAAATGCATGCTCTCTTTCTGCTGTTGGAACCACTTCCTCAAGGTGCATATGATGAAGGCTTTTAAAAAGTATTCTATGCTCCAAAAAATCATTAAGATAAATGATAGGGAAGGATATCATGTGTACTGTTATTTTTATTTTCAATGTCTGCACCTACCCTTGAGGGGTAGTGACAGTTGAAGGTGGTCTGGGTGGGGACTTGATACGCACAGAGAAGGTGGGCAGGACAAAAGGTCTGACCAGCTTTCAGAAGTCCACCCTGAGATGAGAAGCCCACCAACT